CTCCTTCGTCTTCCTCTCCCACTCAGCCACGGTATGATTCACCGTCGCCATGAGCGCATCCTTCGGTAGCGGAGCCAGGCTATCCATAAAGAGAAGCCTCTTCGGCTGGTCCCGCTATCCGAATGTCAGCATCAAGGGGTCGGAAGTTCAAATTAAAAAAAGGAGGCACGGAAAAAGAGAACTTACGAAGTCAATGTACCCCAGTTTCGGCCACATTGGAGGGTGCCCCGGCACCGGATACACGAAATCGAGGACGACGTCGGCGTCGTCCTTCAAAGGCTCCATCGCCTACTTGATGCGCTGTGCCACTTCGGAGGGGGGGAGCGCCTCATCGGCAAGCGTCGTCCCACAGAGTGATGCTCCAGGCACCATCAGGTATAGGGGAAGCGCGTGGCTCATCAGTGGCGCCACCCTCCGCGTATGGTAGGCGCCGATGATCCCCGACCCCTTCACGCCCCTCTCCTTCAGAATTCGAATGCTGGCGAGATGGTCCTAGATTTTTTTCTTGTCTTTATCCAGTACACCCCACTTCCACGGCTCCAGGACCTCTTCGATAATGCACCCGGAGAACGCTGGCAAGGGGGCGGCTACGTCGTCCTTGATGTAAAACCAATGCAAAAGCCACCCCTTGTTGGAGGTCGACAGACGCATCGATGGGTATTCGTTTACCCAGTTGTTGCGGAGATGAATGCCGGCACATCCCACCGGCACGCTCAGCTCTTGCCTCTTCTCCCACTTCTTCAAGAGGTTGACGGCAAAGAAATACCGCCATAGGTCGAAGTGGGAACTAATCCCCAAGAACCCCTCACACAGGGCGACGAACGCCGCAATGTGCTAGACCTCATTGGGAGTGAGGTGCTGCAGCTCCACCTTGTAGTAATCCAACAGCCCCCGAAGGAACTTGTGGGCGGGGATGGCGAATCCCCGCTCATGAAAACGAGCGAAGGACACCACGTAGCCTTCGGGCAGCGATGGCGCGTCCTCATTGCCGAGCAGCCGCCACTCCTCGGCGATGGTCAGCGGGCAAAGGAGGCCACGGCGAACAAGGCCCTCCAAGCGTTGAAGGGTGATGTTAGATCTGCACCATGGCTCCATCGAACGATTGGGAGGGGGTGGACACGAGCTTGATGGTGGCGGCGATGCGGGCGTGGGAGGACTCAAACGATTGGCGGCGGAGGTTGTAGATGCAAAGGCGAGAAGACAGAGTACGGAACCCTGGGGGCGAACCCCTTGGTTTTATAGGGGCGACGGATGCGAGAAGGGCAACCGTCCTCCTAGATCTCCGTGCCTGCCACGATACACCACCACGTCACATCACGGGATATGCGTCCGCAATCCCTATCCTTTCCCACCAAAGTCGTGTTGGACGTTTCGCCTTCCCGGGCAGACTAGGACTCTTTTCCCATAGAGGGGATATGGGTCAAGAAGCGTTTCTCCAGCCCGCCCAGGCCCAGGAGTTCGAGGGCTGGCCCAATGAGTTTCGACCAACGTCCCAACGAGGGATGGGCCCACGAGCGGCCAAAACTCAGGCGCACGAGCCTCAAGAGAGTCTCAATCCGCGATCGAGTCTCAACCGGGTTGACCCTAGATGAATCCCCATGAACGAAATACTAGGGTTCCCTTTAAACTATCCAGTTGTCGAAACACTAAATTTCGCAGCCATACCCGCGAAGGGTCCGAATTACCCCCCGGGCGATTCTATCCGAATCATCCAGGGGCTCGGGGCTACACCCGACGGGTACGCTCGCGCGCACCCTCTGGCGAATCGAAATACCCCCCAGGCGATTCTTTCCGAATCACCCGGGGGCTACACCCGATGGGTGCGCTCGTGTGCATCCTCTGGCGAGTCGAAATACCCCCGGGCGATTCTTTCCGAATCACCCGGGGGCTCGGGGGCTACACCCATCGGGTGCGCTCGCGCGCACCCTCTGGCAAGTCAAATCACCCCCTGGGCGATTCTATCCGAATCACCCGGGGGCTCGGGGGCTACTGTCGGGGACCGATTACTGGAGTACCCAAAGAGGTGGAACTAATAACCATCAAGCGTTGATGCTTCCGAACAGGCAAGAACGCAACTACACTTCTTGCCCTGCGCCTCGCCCGGCCCCAAAGGGTTGGCTCCGCCTCGCCCGACCCCCGAGGGCTGGACTTCGCCTCGCCCGACGTCTGGGTGTAGACTCCGCCTCGCCTGACGGCTGGGGGCAGACTCCGCCTCGCTCGACGACAAGGGACTGGCTCCGCCTCGCAAGACATCTGAGAGCTGGCTCTGCCTCGCCTGACGGCTGAGGGCTGGCTTCGCCTCGCTCGACGTTGAGGGCAGGCTCTGCCTCGCCCGATGGCTGAGGGCAGGCTCCCCCTCGCTGGATAGTAGAGGGCTGGCTCTACCTTGCCCGATGGCTGAGGGCTGGCTCCGCCTCGTCCGACGGCTGAGGGCAGGCTCCTCCTCGCCCGATGTCTGCACCCTGCCCCTTCATAATAACGAGCACTGGGTAAGACAGGACACTCAGGTCAACCGCAGAACTGAAGACCATGCCCTGCGCGCCTGCGGGAAAGTACCGTCAGGATATGACGGGACGGACGCTTTGAGCCCTCCTAGGCATGACAGAGCCCGAATAGTGTTGTAGGCGCTGACTTTTGTCCTACATGTTGTGGGCGTCGCCATCAGCCATCGGGCGTGGATCCTAACACAAGCATACGACAACCACTACAGTCCAAGAGGGAACTCACATCATCAACAGTAACAAACGTATGGTCACTTCCCCGTCTGCTCCCCATAGGGTCACGGCTCGGTACGCTCATGCGCCGCATCGTCCGCAGGAGTAGGATGGGACGCGACCACTGGCTAACCGAAGCCAGGGCACGGCCCTATCAGGATCAGCGAACGTGCTATCCCTGGCATGGTCTGCCATGACAGCAGGGTAGGCTCAAGGAAAAAGGAAGACTCGACACCTTCGAAGGACCCTCTTTACCTCTGGTTTTTTTCCTCTTTCTCTCATCTGAATCCCTACTCCCCCTTGTCTATAAAAGGGAGGGCAGGGCACCCCACTAAAGGGACGGATCGATTTTCACACACAACACATAGCCCAGCAGCAACCGAGCTCTTGACATTCTTTCAACCTTTCCATAAGAGACTTAGGACCAGTTCCTCTCTCGACCGTTTGTACCCCTACTCCGAACATTTTTCAGTGCTTATAACACGAGCAGCGGTAAACTGGACGTAGAAACATTCTACCCGAATCAGTATAAACCTTGTGTCATTTAGTACACCATCCGGGCCTAACGCACAACAAATATAAATTTACTAGTTGGTGCTTATTCGAAACACCGACAGCTCGACTCGGCTTCACGTGCCTCACGCCGTTCCTCACGTCCTGGGAAACACCATCACGAATTCCGGCGTTCCATACACTTTGCCCCGTTCGCTTCATTGGAAAACAAGGCGAAACACTATTTTAGCTGTTTTGTTGTGAGAAAAAAAATATTGTTTTAGTTAAAAAAATAAGCTGAAAAATATGGATTATAAGAGAAGCGAACAGGCCTTCGACATCAGGAATGCAAATGCATGAATATTTCAGTACTAGCAGTACATCGCTACAGCGCGGTACAGTACAGTTTACTCTATCTGGTCACGTAATTAGAGCCAAATTTGTCATAACTTCCCAGTCGGTAGCGCTGCTGGCATGTGAAGTAGTATTGTTGGTTGGTTTGTGTAAGGGAGAAATACTGTTTCGACTGAAAATTTACGATCGTATACGATAAGCCACAGCCAAACAAACAGGCATGTCCCAAGCCACTGTCGTCTCTCCAGTTCTTCCGCTCAGATTTACCAGGTCCTTTCGGCCGATCCGATCTCAGATCCGACACTAGGGCCTTGTTCATTTTGTAAAATTTTTTAACTTGATGAATAGTACCACTTTCGTCTTATTTGGTAAATATTGTCCAATCGTGGACTAACTAGGCTCAAAAGATTCATCTCGTGATTTCCAACTAAACTGTGTAATTAGTTATTTTTTTATCTACATTTAATATTCCATGCAAGCGGCTAAAAATTGATGTGATGGAAAGAGAATGAAAAAACTTGGAATTTGGATGACATCTAAACAAGGCCTAGCATACTTGAGGCAGGATTTGATTCTAAGAAGCCTTAGCCTAATCATGCGCGACCATGATTATTTAGTTTCTTTGGCGGCTTCACGTTAATCTTATCCTGCCAGCTTACTCTCTTTGGCAGCTTCCTGTTACTGTTGTTCTTGTCAGGGTCTTTCACCCCCAAAGAAAAAAAAATGTCGTTCTTGCCAGGCATTTTTTTTTTCACTTGGAATTTCTTTGCGCCTTCGAGCCGCTGGGCTCGTTAATTTTCAGTACAGACAACGGCAACGATGCAAATTGGACATAAACGGCACTGTATTTTGCAAACAGGCACGTGTGTAGTCAGCAGTCTCCAAGTGCAAAGGATGGACTGATGAAGTGATGATTACATATACACCATAGTCAGCACTCTCCTGTATAACCGAGTTCAGTGGCAGGTCTACAGCGTGTACAATAAGATTACTATACAGTGCTGAACGAAGCTTCATATTGGCTATGAGAGTTACAATCCAGAATCAGCGACCAAATCAACATTTACATAATTTACGTGGCCCTGCTCGTGTTGTAAGGGGATGTGATCCAATGATTAAATTTTAGTAGGTGTCACATGAGGTTATTGCATAGGGTGTTTAGATACTAATAAAAAAAATTACATAATTCGTTAGTAATCCGCGAGACGAATTTATTAAGTCTAATTAATTCGTCATTAGCGCATGTTTACTGTAGCACACATTGTCAAATCATGAACTAATTAGGTTTAAAAATTTCGTCTCGCAAAATAGTTTCAATATGTGCATTAAGTTTCGTAATTAGTCTATATTTAATACTCCATACATATATCAAATATCTGATGAAACCGTGACTAAAGTTTAGCAGGTGGAACCAACACCCTGTGAGTCGTGGGTCCAGATTCACCCGTCGCGGATCAAGTTTGCTGGCTCGCTCAAAACATACTTTGGCAGTTCGTACTTGGCACCTGCAATAGAGTTTTTAGTTTCGGTATTGGTCTTGAACATCTCGAGAAGAGAATCATGAGATTGGGAATAAGTCATGCTCACCTCTCTCGTCGTAGCAAAGCGTCATGTTAGGATTTGAAATGATGATTCCAGCACTGTCCACTATGGTTTGTGCAAGGGCTAAATCAGATTCTGCGGCAACTCTTAGAGCATCCCAAATCTCTGGACAACGAGACAGCGACTCGTTACAGTAGTGATGCTAATTAAAGTAGCACGTCTCATAGTAGAAACGGAAAGCATGGCTTCGAAACTACTATAAATGAACAATACGTCGATACAATATCAGTTTGCATTTGGTCAGTACCAACGATTTTGAGAAAAAAATGACCATTTTCCAAGCCAACTATTCGTGTGCAACCAAACTCAAGATTACCCACAAAGGCAAACAAACCAAGAAGTCGAGTCATATTACCCAATAAGATTAAGACCTGGTTCTTGTTTGATATTAAGTCAGTACTCCCTCTATCCAGAAAAGAATGCAATTCTAGCACAGTGTCATGGTTTAGTATCCTAAGCTTGATCAATTATAGATAAAAGAGTATATCAATATTTATGATGTCAAATAAATATCATTAGATTAATTACGAAATGTATTTTCATAATAAATTATTTTGGAGCTGTAAGCGTGCATAGTATTCACTAGAAATTTGGTCAAACGTAAACCACTTTTGTTGGCACGCAACCCGTAGTTGTATTCTTTTCTAGACGGAGGGAGTACCATTTAAATAAGGGCTCAGCATTATTTTTGTTGAAAACTTGAGTTTAAATTGAACACAAACATCAGCCAGTTATTATCATGAAAACATTGAAAAATGAGAGAGGATAAAATCAACCAATGTTGCAAGAATCATGAAGCAGACACCAACACAAAAATTAGTTCTGTCCAACTTTGCATGAACAGTTAAACAAACCTTTTTGGCCACCATAGTGTGGAGCCGTGTCCCAGAATTCATCACGCATCTGTTTGAGTTGTGCTGGTGTAATTGGTTGAGTATGCTTCCAAGCCTTAGGCTTTTTCAGCTTCTTGCTGTTCTCTGTATTCATGAAAATAAAATTTAACGTTCATTTATTGGATAGCAGGTCCAAAGGCACAGAGTTATCAAAGAATACTGCTAATAACCTACAAAAGTGTGTTACCATAGATACCATGGTGCAAGGATATAGAGGTAGTCAAGAAGAAATCTGGATTCACAAACTGTTGGTAACTGAAGGATGCAATAATTTTCTTTAGTTGGCGGCAAGACCAACTTACAGCACATTTTCGTCTGCAATTCACAAGCAAGATTGTGGATGAATGACTCTTTGCAGAACACGGAAAAGGAAAAGGCAAAATTAGTGTTCACAATTATCTACGTAGACTGAGCAAAGTTACCATTAATTGAACACACTATTTCTGTTGCTGAAGTTATGAAGCACAATAACGAAAAAATATTATGCAAATTTCCAATAGTGAGTATAAGTACTTGCATAGAGTATCATTAAGCCTTTCCTGAAATGTATCGGCTTAATAAAGTGCTTTAAACTAGATAAGGCACTAGCTATCAAAAAAATGCAAATTTGCTCAATCCATAAAAAGGTTATTTTGTTCTATGATGAGCATTACCGTCACTTCTGTAACACCCCGGTTGCTACGTACCTATTTAACAATAGTTTAAGGCTTAATAAAACCTAATAAATAAGTTTTCTATGCTTGGTGATAAATTCTTGCACGAAATAATAACGATACATGTTTGTTTAAATCACCTTTGTGAATATAGTCAACATGTGTGATGTCAACCAACCTCGATTTTGTGCTTAAACATCTCTAAATGAGTTTGCAAACAAAAGTTATTTATGGTTCATGTTGGGAAAATGTGGAGAAAAAGATTAAAAATGCCAAAAACCTTACCTTGTTTTAATTGCTCAATAGCTTTTTGACGAATAAATAAATAATTATTTTATATAAAAATTGTAAAATATGTTTGTATGAAAAACTTAGTTTAAGTTTTGTACTTTGTGGTAGAGTGCTTGTTCAGGCCTAGTTTAATTGTTTGATAGGTTAATTAGTGCTTTAAAGTTTGAATAAAATATCATTTCCTGGGAGACTTGGAAAGTTTCCAAGTGATTAGTGTTTCCACTGACACTGCTAACTTTGGCCCTAATTACCCGCTAATCCGCTGCTCTAATGACCTTGGTCCCTTAATAAGAATGGAAGTTTATCGTGAGGTGAAGATCTTTTGTTACAGTAGCCGACTCCGAATCTGGACGGAATATGCCAAATAGTGCGGTCAAGGGAAGCACATCGCACTGGCCACGCCCTTACCCTGCTCTGTCGTCGCCCACGCCCTGCTCTGTGTGCACCAGTGCGCCCAGGCCGCCATGCCGCGCCACGTCGCCTCTGCCCGCCCCGGCTCACGCCCAGCACCCATGCCGCGCTACTCCCTCGCCCCGACCTTATCCCGCCGCGCTCGCCCTTCTTTTATCGCTCCCTCCCCTTCGCTTCGCTGCTCATACCGCCCACCATGGTCGAGCTCTAGAGCTCACGGCCACGCCGTTCATTCTCACTGCTGCGTTCTGTCGCAGGCCGAGTTGATATCGCCCCCACCTCCGCCTCGCTCCTCGTTGTGCCCCGCGCGTGCTCGCCGTAGCCCGCGTTGCCGGGAGCCGCCGTGGCCCCTGCTTGGACCGCCGCCGCGTGAGCACGTGGCCTAGCTGTTGCTCCCTGCCCCGACGCGAGCGGAGCCCAGCCGCGGGCGCGCTGTGGCCGCCCGGTTCCGTGCATCTCGCCCTCGCCGCCCGTCGCGCCCCACAGCGCCGAAGCCGCCGCTCTGCGCGTGGCCGAGCCGCACGCACACGCGGCCGACCCTCCACACTCCTCCTCCGGCTGAGCTGCCGCCACCCACGCATGCGGCCAGGGCCGCTGCTGCCCCCGCGCACCGCCCTCGCCCTTGCCGGTGGCCTCTGCCGGCCAAATCGGTCCTGCCGTGGCCCTCCTCTGCTCGGTGAAGACTAGGAAGAAGAAGAGAAGGACCTTGCGCTGAAATAGAAGCTTTTCTGGGGTTTCGAATGTAAATCTCATGACTCACATGAATAGTGCTGCTAGACTGCGGGTTGATTCAGAAGTGTTTGTCTTTTATGATTTTTTCTTTTTCTTTTATGTTTAAATCGGCTGAAACTTTGAAAATTCATAATAAATCGTAGAAAATTATAAAAATCCCTAACCAGTTTTGTTACACTCCACACAACTAGATCTATGGCGTAGATACATAATATGACATGTTTTAGTACAAAAGTTTTGCTATAGATATTTGCCTATGCTTTTTAATGTTAAATTCATATCTGTTGTTGTATGAATCCAATTGCTGTGAATTTTTTACGGTAGGTTAATTGTTGCACGCTAGTGCTGTGGTAAAAATTTCATGTTCAATGGATATTTATTTATTGAGTTATTGAATTATCATGTGTCACATGCTTTTATTGCCATTAAATCTTAATTAACTGTTAGTAAATAATATGTTTATCCAGAAATTATGAAATTCATGCAATAGTTATGTTTAGTTAATATGTATCACCCATAAAATTTTCAAGTCCAAAAGAGATGTTTGGTGCACCACCTTTTTATATGTTAGGTGTTTAGATTAGGGTTAATATACATTTGTCTACACTACTTGTTTTACATGATGACTAAGCAAAAATATGTTTAGTAAGTAGAAGTGTGCTTGACATGTTATGATAAGCTTTCACTTGTATGTTAAAAATGCAAATGATTGTTTTTGCTCACTTGTGTTAGGTTGATAATATTAACTCGCAAGTAAGTCGCTAGGAGAGGATGAGAGTCGAACCTCCAACGTTTAGTTACCTTTCACCGTGGTGACGTGATGCTTGTATTTGTAGTGTTTGTAAATGTCTTGTTATGCTTGTTTAACTTAAGCATGCATTGCATTATTGTATATCATTTAGGAACGATGATCGATCGATGGATCAACTAAAGGATGTTGGCGTCAAGCGAGAGAGGGTGTCATAGTGATCAGTCCAGAAGATGATGGTTGATGATGTTGAAGATGGAGCCAGCTAACTTAGTGTTAATAAGTTACCCAGGCAAGCCCCGGTGCATAACCCCTATTTTTCCAGCACTTATTAATATGTTGTTTGTGCACTAAGTTGCAGGAGTTGCTTGAAACCCACCTGCATGAATATTTTATCCTATGAGTCCTACTAGTATGACAGAAGTCGTGTAGTATGCCATGATATAGGGCTTACGGTAGAAGTCGAGTGATGGACGGTAACTCGCAAGAAATAGGCGATGGTTATACTGTTACTACTATCACATGGACTTGAGATGCTGGATAATAATTGGAGACTGAACGGGAAGTGGAAAATGTTTTTTTCTGAATGGTCGGTGGGTGCCGCAGAGTCGGGCTCTAGGTGCTCGTTTTTCCCGCCTGTGTCGGTTAAGGACCGTACCGTTGGTAGCGATGTGACAAGCTTGAAGGTACCAAACACATAACAGGGGCCTGAGTTACAATTGATCGTGAAGCTTAGTACTTTCTTACGACTAAGGTGTGCAAAACGTTCACCGGAGTGTTTCGCTGGCCATCTAGTGGCTGTTTTAGGATGGGGGAATGTCCATGGACCAAACTTAGGAGGGGAAAACCCATCCGGGATGGGCCTCCTAGGGTGGGTTCCCCAAGGTGGTTAGGTCATTTCGAGCCTTGGTCGTACGATTGGAATGGCTGCCTGGTACTTGCTCTTTTGAGAGAAGTACATGCGTGTGTTTAGGATTGCCCAGCTGGATGTACATCGATTGTAATCGCCGCCCTCCTCAGATATGGATACCACTTGTCACACCACTGCTATCGTAGTTAATGCAACTAGAACATGTAGTTGATGATGAGGCTTATGCCGGATGATGAAATATATTCTAATTGCTTACCACATGCTTGAAAGTAGTTCAGGTGCTTACCTAGAGTGGTTAAGTAGTGAACTTGATATGACTGCTAAAACCTTGAATACCAAGATACACTATTAGTAATGTTTCTCTACAAAAACAACTAAACAGCTAGCCAAATAGCCCCTTGCATATCCTTGAGAGTCGGGAGACTACTCTCACCAAGTCGGGTAAGTCTTGCGGAGTACATTGTGTACTTAGGGTTTTATTCCCTCTGTTGTAGGTAACAGGTGGATGCTGGAGCTAACTGTTGCTATGTGTGGATACCTCCTGGTGGGCTCAGCGAGGCTTCCTCTATCGCCGCTATCGTAGCATCTTATTCTTAAAACCCTACATCTATTTCAATATTCAAAACTGTTAAGTTTCCGCTGCTTTGTATAAAATAACCTTTCTTCCGCTATTTTTATGAAATCTGTTTTGTAAAAACTCTAATTTATGAAATGTTGTGATGTATGAAATTGTTAAAAATGTTGTAAGCTTTATTCACTTGTTTATGATCCTGATGGGAACATGTATTTTCGAGTTCTCCCGCTGGGTGTGCTCAACAGACTATTGAATTTTGCTTAGTCTCTTGTGTACCTAGTGTCAAATGGCTGATAAGTACACTTGGGATTATGTTAAATTGGGCGGTTTTGCCACAACTTCGCTGCTATCGAAATCTCATCTTTGCTTTATGTTAGGTACAAACAAAATAGCTTTTGTCCTGCTAGAAAATATAGCCATCACTTGGACACCTTTTTTTTATTAGAGTAAAAGGTTTTCCCACTTCATTTCATAGAAACAAAGCAGTTCAATTAAATACAGCATAGCATATTATAGGCGCGCCTGCAACAGTATTTGGCATCATATTACTTTGACACCTGGACACCTTTTTTTAGCCATGATAATGTTATCCCTCCACTAACAAAATACTATTTGGGATGCAAGAGTTTCTACTTTCTACCAGTACTGACTCCACTATACTGATAGCCTTACCAAAATTGGACAATTACATCGATGAAAATCCATAGTTTGTGACAAATTTGCTAAAGCAGTAGTTTGTGAAAATCATCGCAGCCATCCGTCAGAGACAATTTGCTAAATTTCCTCTTGATCAACACTTGACAAAATCAATTCTTTTATGGCTCGTGAATTGATGCCTTAAAAGCTATGGGATGGGATTTAGCGTCATTTGCATCGACAATCAAGAAGAGTAAAGAATGTACGATTAATCCTACTATTAGCGATGGCCTTGAACGGCTCAAATCGGATCTTAGCAGCTAACAATTTCGCAGCCAAAAGGAAATATATCGAGAACGCATAGCGTCAAAAAGATACCATCGACTTTGGGAGTGGATCCAACAGCGACCCATGGCGGCGGACGATCGACGCAGCTCATGGAACAGGCGTTCCGAAGCTTCGAAGCGGAGCCGGATCTCATGGCAAGGAGAGGCGGGTGGAAGGGGGAGGAAGAGAGTGCGGTGGATTAATAGGTGGAAGCGGGGGGGAGTAGGAGACGCGAAGCATCGGTGCATGTGAGAGAGAGAGAGGTCATGCAAAGTGCAAGCGGGAGGAAAAAAAAAAAAAAATTTTGCTGCAGGACACCGCTAAAATATATAATATGCTGATGGACATCGCTAAAACGAGAATTTATCCAAAGACACCGAAAATTCGTGGTTCTTTGGCCAGACACACCACACCGATTATTTTAATCATTTCTCAGATCTGCGGAGAGTGAAGGTGGGTGAAATGACTTTTTGCCCTCGTCTTCCACCTCCTACCGGTCACCGATTTTTGCTATAACACATCGCCGCCGCTTTTCTTCTCCGGTGAGGTCTCGTCCTGCTCCCGGCAAAGACCAATGAGCCCGCCCGCCACCTGCGTCTTGATGTCGTTGACTCGTCGCCACCTAGGCATCACGTGGTGGGTCGAGACTTCAACAGTCCATCTTCCTCCTCACTCCATGGCCATGGAAGCCATGGAAGAGCCTCTTGCTAAGCGTGGGAGGGAGGGCTTGGCTTCGGCTCGGCCAGTTGCCACCGGCCCAAGAAGAGAGCGGCCAAGGTCGAAAGGGCGGCCCGCTGGGTCACAAGATGGCGGGGGGGGTCCCACGCTGGCTCATTGGCGGAGACGACGGTGGGGTCGTGGCGGCGGCGGCGCGTCTGGCCTTTGTGTGACGGGCGGAGGGCCTCGGTGGAGGGGGTAGCAGAAGCCGCCGGCAAAGATGGTAGGTTGGAGCGGCGGCGGCGGCTGGCCGCAGCTGCTGCTTGTTGCCCGTGGGGGCTCATTGGCCGGGAGCATTGGCGGTGGTCGGGTGGCGGCGGAAACACGTCGTCTTGCCAGGCGAGGCGAGGGCTAGCATCGGGTCAACTTGACCAAGCATGCCGTGTTGACGGCGGCATGGTGTGGCACGGCTTGATGGCGGATGAGGAAAGGCTGGAGATGGCCGAAGCAGAGAGGAAGGCGACGCCGTCCATGGAGTCTGCGGATGTCGCTCTCAAG